AAGAACCCCATCAAACAGAGAGTATTCTAGAGTTTCCAAAGAAAAGATGCCTTACTTTCCCTACATCAAAACAGCAAACTGAAAAAAAGGGGAAACGTTTAGATATTGAGATAAATGCAAAGAGTCCAAAATGGAGTGACTAATTTGTGTTGGTCGTAGTCATGGCAGGTTATCGAATACGTCTTTGACGAATTGAAGAAAGAATACGCCGGAAAAATCTACATCATCAAAAAAAAATATTATTCCCTTAGGGAAGCTGCACCTCTGGGGTGTTCCTTCTTTCCTTTTTCCCATTTCTCCCTAATATTTACCAAAAGATAGAATGCAGAGCATTAGTGCAATGTAAGTTTCGCTCTATGTATATTTTCCAATGTTTTTTTAATCATTCCACTCGCTCGGAATCGTGTTACCTATCAAAAACAGTCACAAGGTTAAAAAATACCAAAGGGGAACATAGCCGTACGGCTATAGGGGCGCGACTAAGCATTCGTCACCAACGGACGCTAGGCGTCACACTAGTATCACATGCTGTTTAAGGTCCGAAAGCTGATAAAATGCACTCCCTGTACGCTCCTAAACATAGAGGAACTTCCTTAGTATCACCATGTCAGATTCGAAAAATATTTAATCTCAGAACGAAATAGAATGATTAATAATCACCTTGGATTTAGTGTTATCAAAATTAGAAGCCCAACGTTTACCCCATACATAACACAATATTAATTGATATTCGCCAGTCTCTCGAATTCATCACCTAAAGTCTCTGCGTTACCTTGTATTTTAAGCATAATATAACTCACTGTTGAGATAGGTAAGAAGATGAGGTCGCTCAGAGAAACCTACCCCCCGTAGGGGGCCATCATGGACAAGATGATTAAAATAAAGGAAAGCACCCCTCATGTCCCAAAGCTGAGAAATTCCACACTCATACGCAAGCAGCTGAAGAGTGGACTATAGCTTACCCTCATCGTGTTTGTTTGATTAGCAAGGTATACCTAGAAAAAAAAACATTCTATCCGCACAGACTTCTTGACATACGACCCTCAAGTGGGAACTTCGTGGAGCTATACAATGCATCAAAAGGTGGTGTCCTGGTGTATGTAAGGTAGGGAAAGTAAACTGCCTCAAATATCCTTCGCCTTTTTGATTGCTCCTTCGAATGGGAAGCCACATTTGGCGTGGTAGGAATCCCAAGTGATGGAGTTACTCGTTGATAGAAACAACGGCACAGATTTCAGGTACACCATGGTTTGATTTTTCGCTGTTGGGTCGTGCACCATCGGCACAAGCCACCGCGCGGTGACAGCGCCACTCTCCATTTGCTTGACCTTCGTAAGATATTTTGCAAGACCTGCTGTTTCGAAAATCGCTGGGTACGTGCGCCCCTCTTTGCTGGCGGTATCCGTGGACCTCGGCTTGAGCGCCAAGAGCGGCGGCGTAAGAACGATGAAAGTCCCCTTCGAGGTAGTTTTCCTGCCCGACCACCTGGGTACCGCCAGCCTCGTGTAAATTCGCTCACCGTACGCAGCGTACGCTCGCTTGTTAAGGTCGTTGACAAACTGAATCATGGCCTTGAAACTAGATGTGTCGTGCGAGTGCTGGCGTGCGATTGCGTCGAGTGGGAGGTACTTCGCCCAGTGTCCATCGTTTACCTCAGATTGATGGATGTATTCTAGCGCACCAATAACCAAAGGTGCATCGGTGAAGTCCAGTCCGATAAGACCTGCGCGCACACCGTAAGGGGATCGAGCTGCTTTCAGCTCATTCGCTGGCATCGAGAAAACGCTCCGATCGACCTCCCAGGCTAAGAGATCCAGATAGAGCGCAGTATAGATGGACTCATCGCCGGTCCATCCTCTTTCGGTTTTAACTGGCGGGGCCTGCGTTTTGGTGACATCGAAAGCCTTGCGTAGGAACTCCTTATACGCCCACACACGGGCAACCACAACACCCGCATTTAGATGCCGGTACGGTGATGCGTCAAAAGAGAGGCTGATATTATGCTCTGGGTGTGCAGCGGCGTATTGACGAACTTTCTCATATACAATCTCATAGCCAAGTGCACAGCCTTCACGAGTTTTGAACATGCTATCGGCCAAGCATTTGCCGTCCGCATGAGCTAGAAACGGTGCCATCGCACGGCCCTGCCGTACCGCCACCGC